AGAGAAAAAGAGAGAGAGGGGGGGGGGGCATAGGTCCTCTCCCTCTATGTTATTCTCACACAAATTCTTCTTTTTTTGTGTGCATCTTCCTCTACATGGTCACATGTTCTCAGAGGTTTGACTTATGCTAATCAAAGGTGAGTGTGTGTACGGCAGGGGTTAAGAGGAACCTTGTTAACGGAAACCTAGCCTGACATGGAGACAGATGCAAGGATGTGCTATGTGCAATTTTTATTTTAATTTAAGTAGTTGAAGTTAAAACATTCCTGGAAAACCTGAAATTGGGGGGAATTTTAACATTGTGATTTACAGAACTGAAAACATCATATATAATAAGATTTCACAAATTACTGTTTTTACTGTATTTTTGATTAAATCAATGCTGCCTTCAGCAGAACTGTTTCCAGAGCTGAAAACGTCATTTATATATATATATATATATAAATATATATATATATATATATATATAAGATTTCACAATATTACTGTTTTTACTGTATTTTTTATTAAATCAATGCTGCCTAGAGCAAAGGATATAGGAATATAAGGGTTATTTATACACAAGCTCTCATTGGATTTTTTTCAGCCATAATTATTGTGTAACTTGTTAGACTCTCTGTGGACTAACTCAGACTTTCTCTCTCTGTAGCGGACCTTCTCGGCCAGCCCATACTCGGACCCCATCATCGTGCAGGATAAAAACCTTATGCAGCCCAGTGTGGACCAGCCTGAGATGCTCTGGGTTATGGGCCCCGTTCTTGCCGTAGTGCTCATCATCATCATAGTCATCGCCATCCTGCTCTTCAAGAGGTGAGCAAGAGTTTTCCCATCACTCTTTCCTGCCAGCTGCAGTGAGGTGCACTGTAGCTTTACCATTCAACAGAGCTGCCAGTGCAAAAGATGTATTCAATCAATAGTGTAGTGATATATGAAGCACAGCTCACATGTCACTTTCAAGCAAGCTGCTTTCTCTTGATCAATGCCACAAATTAACTTGAACCTGTTGCGAAATCTTTGTGGGGAACTTTTTTACCCTCACACGAAATTCCTATTGTAATGACTGAATTTCACCCATGAAAGTTTGCTAAACAACAGTAAATATGACTTTATGAAGTATGACTTAATTTGTGTTTGAATGTATTTTGAATTATCTTCATTTGGGGTGTTTCTCAATTAGTAGTGATTAATTAGATTAATTAATTAGCATTTCATGTTATTATTTCTATATTATATTAATTGGCGGACCTAGTTTCCCATTTTGTTGAGGGGGGTGTGAAGTGTGCCCACCTTTTTTATCTCTGAGATCATCTCAAAGTTTACTAGATGTGATGGAGACAAATATCAGCCTCTTTGAAGGTCTCATTTCAGATGAAATACACCCCTACACATCGTCGGCGTGACTCCTTGTCTGCTTTGGATGCTTTGTACACGGAACAAGATGTGGCTAATTTTAGCTAGCTTTTCCGCGGAGAGAACATTATTCATAATGACATCTTGACTCAGCCGAATAATGCAGACATGTAGCTTGCGGCGTGACCCGGTGGTCCCATTCACAATGCTGATACAGTACTGACTAATACTCCCTCCAGCCCATCTTGGTAAAATCCCTTACTTCAGAGCAAACCTTGCATTTGTTTTGCTCTGATTTTCTCGGCGTTCAACACAAATCCACCATATCAGCCCCCCTGATGGTGCAGGACTCTTTTAACTTTGCAGTGACTCAAATTGAGGCCGTTCCCGAGCGAAGATGCAGCAGCGAAATGGCAGCGTCAGCTTTCGGTCTCGGCAGGCGAGCGGTTATGTGGCTGTGCTGCCACACCCTGCTGATGCTATTCTAAAAGCTGTCATCTTCCACTGCCCACCGCTGCGAGCCAGAAAGTCCAGCGAGTAGCTCTGCTATTGTACTCCTGCAGAACTAATAACTGGCCTTTCGCTGCTAGCCTTAACTTTCTCTCTCCCTTTCACTCTGACAGTCATGTTGTCGCTGGAGGTCACAAGTAGCTGTATTGTATTTTTTGTTGCTAACAGGAATTCCTACCACTGGATGCTCTAATTCTGCACAACTTGCCAATAGATTTTTGAAAATCTGATCACAAATGAGATGTATTAGCCTTTTTGACAGAATCTTGTTCTTTTTTTGCTTAAATTAACATTTAGCTATGTAGGGAATAGGGATGCGCAATATTAATATTTCTGCTGAAGCTTGTTGTAAAATTCTATACTAAATTCTCTACCAAAATCTGTCATTTTAAATGCAACAAGCGAATTTAGGCATCACAACATTATAATGTACAGTATGGAAAATATTCATTTTGAGATCTAAACGTAAAAATAGGGGATTGAATAAATGATATCTACCAATAATCAACATGAGTTTGTATATAAATTAAAGCAGTGGATAATATGTCATGTTATATGAGCAAGACTAAAAGAGAGAATTGTTGACAAGGTTTAATTTCAACACAATAATAAATAATGAAATAATTATACTCTAATATTGGTCGTTAACCTGTATGGTTCTGATATATATTGTGTACACCTATAATTATGTGTTTGCATATAAATCTAAACTGTTGATTATAGGTAATGTTATATAAACTGAGTTTTCAACATTATTTTTATTATGTCCCTGAATGTGGGCAGATCACCTACTTAATATTCATTAGCTAAAGCAAAGGCTAGTGTTGTGTCAGTCATTTTATATAAGTATTCATTCATTTCCTCTTTTTAAATCACCGTCTTCAAACACAAAGTCAGATTTCTGCAAGACGTTTTTGAAACGTAAGGTTAGCAGCACAACTCACTTGAGTCTCTGCGTGTCTGACAGCCACTAATCACGTGTCTCTTCCTTCCTCCGCTCCGTACAAATGCAGCAAACAGGAGAGGTAGGTACCTTCAGATCATGGCCAGGTGTCTTTCTGTCACAGTTTTCATTTCAGAAGTGTCATCTGTCTCACTCTTCACAGGCTGCAGGGTCTGCAGGTGTGGCCGCACACGTTACTGTTCATTAGCATGTTGTTTTGAATGACTATCCGTTCGGTTCATCCAAAACAAGATGTTGGCTGAAATTGCCGTTCTGCACAGAGATTGACAGTAGTTCACCCTCACACCCTGCTGTCCTTGAAAAGCTCCGGTCATTTGGGTTTACGTCGTTACAGTGGTGCATGCTTGCTGTTGTGATCGTGATTTCTTTTTTGGAGATGTTTGCTGTTCTGTGTTGATTCTGTTCGTGTTGATCCTTCACCTCCTCCTGAAGGTCACTCAGACTGAGTGTGTGCAGTCAGCCTTTCTGCTGTCTCACCTGAGCCCTGAATGGCCCATTGTAAAGGAAATGCCAGCCCGGCGGCTGCCGAAATAGAAATGTTCTCATCTTCAAAGCTGACATTTCCCTCCACCGAACTGTTCTGTTTCATTTTTTCACTTCCTTCTTACTGGCTAATGTATGAAATATCTCTCACACACACATACACTCTCTCTCACAGAGCAAAATGGCCATTTTCTGTTATTTTTATCTCTGCATTTATTCTGAACCCCCTACAAATGGATCCTTTTAGCCTCTGGTGTATATGTATTAACTCCAAACGGAATAATTGAAGCGTGCTGAGACTTACAAGACGTACAAGAAAGACGAGAGGCTACGTGTCCTGTGCTCTAGTGGTTAGCAATGCAGTACGACCCGGTTCTGTTAAACAGCATATGCTGAAAACCCTTCGGTGCGGCCCGCCTCGCTGGTGTCAGCCTCATTTGAGCTCTTCAGGCTTTATGAAAGCTAGAAAACTGTGCTTAGAACCTTACAAATTGAGTGCAGTGAGATGTGAAATTTCCCGTGCAGTTGGCTCTCCCATTTTGGTTAGGGATTTGTGTCCATGTGTCTGAGGATGGGTTTCCACTGACAGATGTTCTGCATCTGTGTGTGTGCGCGCACACGACAGCTTTACCTGCTGGAAGAGTGCACTCAGGAGTGCAGGTGCTACAGTGGCATAATTACCGGTGTTGTGCCATCCAGCTGATGTGCTAATTACCTAGTCGCCTTGTTTTCCCCACAAACAAGGAGTGCAGCACCCTGAATATTTAGTGAGCTTGCTAACAGAATCGAGTGAAGCGCTGAACAAACACGCTATTTGGCTTTTATTTCGAATTACTGTGGCCCCTACGTTTCCTAAAGGGAAGTTATGATGTGCTCTAAAAGCAGTGAAGCTTTAACAAGAAATGAGGCTCATGATTTTTAGACTGATTATTTTGTTGTCTTAAAGACCCCATGAAAACAAGTTTGGAGTTTTGTGGCTTGTAGTTGACTTTAGTATACTCCTGAAAGTTGATCAAAAGAACTTGGGTATACACATGTATACAGATATAATAAATTAATGCATTTAAAATGTCTTTCCTTTCTAGAAGGACTAACCAAAAATATAATATATTATATTATATACTATACTATATACTATATAAATATCAGCATTGATTTAATATACTATTATTAAAAAATAAATAAATACTGACCCCAAACTTTTGAATAGTATTATATAATAAATGGACTAAATGTTTTGTCTAATTTTGTCCAATCAAATTCTCTCTCGCAAATCATGTATTGAGTCGTCAACACGGGACACATAGGTGTTTAATAGATGTAAATTTATGAAGATGCTAATGTCCACATTTCTCTGTCCCATCCCTCAAAATTCTTTAATTTGTCTTTGTTATCTGTTTCAAATCTTTCAAATCTGTTAGTGGGTCTGGCGTGGTCTGAATGTGTCAACAGAAGCACTCATGCTGACTCCATTTTGCTCTTACAGGAAGAGGGCATCCCCCCTACCGAAAGATGATCACTCTGGTGGAGTGAAGGATTGTCTTCTGGCCAACTCGTCTGATCCTGTAGAAATGAGGAGACTCAACTACCAGACACCAGGTAACACACCGTACACCATATGTACTATAGACACACATTACCAGTCTGCCAGAGCCCCATGTGTTCTCTACCATATGCACGCGTACACTTTTCCTCTGACTCAGTGTGTGATATTTGAGCTTATCACCATATGCTCAATGCAAGTCAAGACAAATTCAGTCTCTTCCTTACATACACAATGCATGCACATTATCCCATTGTACTATATCATCTGTATCTTGTTCAGTAACCCTGATATTATTTTTTCACGCGTCAGCATATGCCACCGAATGTGTCATTTAGCATAAACAGTATGTGTATGTGCACATGCAGGCACACTGACTGAAGTGACAGCACGTCTTTGTAATCAGAATGATCTATCACTGCCGTACGTATCTTCCAATCTTTACGGCCCGCCCACCACAGCCATAAAAACAGAGCACATGAGAGAGGAGGCACTTTCAGTCATAACACTGAATCTGAAAGCCAGATATTAGCTGCTCTACAGAAATGCTACTATGTGGTTGTTTATCATTTATTTAATTTTTTAATAAATATATTTTATTGTAATATATAGCTAATATATGTAATATAGCTATTTTATTTTCATTTTTAAAATGAAGTTTTAGAACAGTGTAAGGTGATTTTTTTGTTTATCATTTTTGTGTGAAAACAAATGTACTGTTTTATGACTGTTTAATGTGAGTATGCTAAATGAGCAGTGGCTGTAGGAAAGCGTAATGGAGCGCTCTGCTTCATATTGCATATTATTATTTGTCCTTTGGTGGCTCTGAATTTAGCTGTTCATTGCAGTTCCTCCATTTACTGTCTCATCTCCTTGGAGTGTCTTATATGGACTCAATTCACCCAAAGGGCTCTTGCTCTTTCAACCCCTCTTTGTTAATTAGCCTTCCTGCTTGCCATTCCCAAGGTGAGTGAGAGGCAGACCTGTGACGCTAAGAGAAAATGTCAGGCCTGCCTCTCTCTCCTCTAATAGCTGAGCGGTGGCAGTAGAGCCAGGTTATTACAGACCCTTTCAGTCCTGAAGAGCACATAATTACCGCAGGCTAAACAGCCATACAGCTCTCTTACCGTGAATCCCACTGCCACAGCCAGCAGTTTTCATACGGCAGCAGAGTGGCAACAAGGGCACTTCACATTTCATCGTTTGATTAAGTTTTGAAACACCTGATTGAGTTGTTTTGTGATGTTTATGAGTACAAATAATGTGATGGTATATTAATATAGGGTTTTTTTCTTCAGCTACAAGTACTTTTATGCCTCGGGGGTATTTATTTATTATAATTTTTTTCTTCTTTTGGTTATTTGAAGGTTACATTAAAACGGTTTTAGAGTTTTTATTTATTTATTATGACTTAACTTTTTTAAATGTCTTATGTAAAGATTGTTTTAACCCCTAAAATATGAGAATACATCATAAAAATATGAATTATTACACATATAAAACAGTTTTTTAAAGGGTTATTATAAAATATTTAAAATAATTTATAATTCATGACTGTCCCTCAGTTGTGCCATCATTTCCATTAAAACCAGCAATTTTGTTAATATTATCAACAGTTAATAAATACAACATGAATAGAGTATTTATGTGTGAACATTTAATTATGTGTAATTTAGGATACATGACACACTAGTTATGAAAATAGCCTTCAAAAAAAGCAGGAAAAAGCAAGAGTAGAAATAATCTTGAGATGTGATGAAAATGATATTGTGGTGAATGATATCCTGTTCATGACACGAGAAAAATGACAGAATTCTCCTGTGATGCATATGTTATGTACAGCATACACACACGCCCATATTCTAATTCTATTTCCTGCCATTGTCTTGGATGTAGCAGTCAGGTTATGTTTCCAGTCCCTTATCCATACATTTCTGGATGCATTTTCACTTGAATGACCTTGGACATTCATTTCAAATCCAGACGTCTCGTAATCTGCATGCCTTTCCCTGCTTTGCATGCTGGGTTGTAGCTCTTCACTGCCTAATTAACTTGCTGTTTAGCGTGGATGTATCCTGTGCTGTATTCACTTAATGTGCTCATGGTGCAGCTTATTGCACTGGCAGCCTCTAAATATACAGAATACTGTGTCTCGTTTGTGTGCTAGAAAATAGTGGTTATACAGTATGTATTATATGTAAATGGCAAACACGATTTTTGTTATATAAATTATGATGGCATGTGTCTGAATATATTTAATATATGTACTACTTTTCTGCTACAAAGTAAAAAAAAAAACATGTCAGTAGAATTTTTATTCACTATTTAGGATACAGTATTCAGTGACGCTCGGGTAGAAAGTTGTTCCTTATGGTTAAATTGTTTAATAGTCATAAATAATTTTCATGGTTTTTGTCCCTGTCGAATGTTGCGTTGTCACATACTGTACATATGGCGGTCCCACAAGGTGACTGTACGTCTATGCGCAGTATCCTTAACTGTTACTGTAAAACTTTTCTTCTGACTTTCACATCAGCCCTGTTCAGATATAATTGTGTGAAAGTCGCATATGTGTAGCACATATTCCACCAAAGAAATGTAAAATGTGTCTACAATCTACCAGACCAGTTTTTGGCATCACGTCAGTGCGGTTGATTAAGAGAGTGGCCCCATGATCCTGCCGCCTACTGTCTTGCAGTAACGGTTGCATGAAGTAGCTAGCAGGGGGCTTGTCCAGACATTTCTGTGCTCACTGTGGGCATAATGAACTCATAATGGGGAATCATACCCAACCATGTCCCATTAAGCATCTCAGTCCAGCTCATTCATCCTCAACCACTGGAATCCTAATGACAGATCCTCTCTATTACGACCCCCCCACACACACACACACACACACACACCTTTCCTTATCAAACAACACACAAGCTGAACATTTCCTCAGATCCAGCTGAGCATGTAGCCTTGATACGTTCACAGGCGCTGACAGGGAAATGTGCTTTGGCAGTAAGTTGACCCCCCGGACAAGAAATCCAGAGCATGTTTGGGGGATAGACGTAAGCGGACACAACATATATCAGCGCAAATCTCGCAGAGGGATCATGTCACATCAAGGTGCAAGAAGAACCTATTTATGTCATGCCCTCCTCAACTCAAAACAGACAGACTCGCTGCCCGCTGTAACGGTACAGTGCATCAGGTGTGATACTCTGGGATGTGCTCACCAATTCTCGTTGTCTTATTTTCTCTTGTAGGAATGAGGGAACATCCTCCTATATCTGTCTGCGAGCTGGCAGACCACATAGAGCGACTCAAGGCCAACGATGCCCTCCGATTTTCCCAGGAGTATGAGGTAAGGGCAATAGTAATTGGTGCAGCTTGAATATTTTGCATCTGGTTTAATTATAGTTGCACATTCTCTAGGACAGGGGTTGCTAATCCTGCTCATGGAGGACCACTTTCCTGCAAAGTTTAGCTTCAGTGATATTCAAACAAACATAAACCAGCTAATTGAGATGGTTACTTAAAAATAACAGGCAGTTGTGTTTGGAGCAGGGTTGGAGCTGAAGTCTGCATGAAGGTGGCCCTTTAGGAGCAAGGTTGGCTACTTACATAATCTGAACACATCAGAAACACATCTGAACCAGCTAATTAAGATCTTCAGAAACACGCTATAATTACAGACAGGCGCATTGGAGCAGAGTTGGATCTGAACTCTGCAGGAATGTTGATCTCCAGGAACAGGATTGTGCACCCCTGGTTTACTGACTCTCCTGGTAAAGCTGCGTTCACACTGATGCTGATTAAATCGCTGATCTATGAGCTACAATATCCACTATCTGCACTCTCATTTGTATAACTGCTCATTTGCATAAAGTCAAGCTTTTCTGTTGCTTTGCCAGTGGTCTCTTCCACTCATGGTGCCAGAAATCACCAACTCATGGAAAATGAATGGTATCTGGTCGCTTCACCGTGAGGAAAAATTGTGCAAATGTGTACCCTTAGGGGTACAGCGGCTTGTTACTGTGGAAGTATTCTCAGAGGGTCACATCTGTACCTTAATCAGTCCCCCCAGGATTTTGCGATTCTGCGATCGTAGAATTGAATGCAAAATCAAGCAAACTCTGCAATATTCAGAAGAGCTTGCAATTTTTCTAAATTGCTGCAGATTTTGGGCCTAGACCTTCCAGGGTTACCCTGTAAAGACACTACTTTGTTTCTGACAAGCTCATCAAGGAGAAGAAAGGAAGTCAAACAGTTTTTACATGTTTTCAAATGTTCATTCCGATTTTTGTATTCGCTATGGAGTTTATTAAACAACACCAAAGACTTTGTAGTTGCGTTCTTTTGCACTTTAATCTGTTTGAAACATTTGTTTTCTTTGTACATGTGCATTCTTCAAAGCTAGGCTACTACTACATATTTAACATTCTTTTCTGTTATATTATAAAAATACTAACTTGTTATTAACCCTGCAAAGCCTGAAATAATGATACTCTATTAAATGGTACTAATATGCAGCTTTTAGGGCTGGAAAAGGCACAGAGGTGCACTTTTGAGAGTACTGCCCGAGTAACAATCTGTTGTACACCAAAGGTACTTTTT